AGAGAGAGAGAGAGAGAGATTGTGCAAAAAAATCCATGAAGAGGTAAATCTGTGGATGCTGAAGCACAAGTACGCAGGGGTCCATTATAGTCAAGGAAACATGTTCATAATCACTCCCCTCCCCCATCTTTTATTCCTCAAGGGCCCACATGCGACACGCACGCTCCAAGTTACCCATCCATGGCATACCCACACACTCTAAAATTAATGATAAAAAAACAACAACATCAACTTGGGGCAAAATTGTACTGACCCATTACTTGGATCAATTTGACCCAACTTTCAAGGTTCTTTTGTACAAAAAAAAGCCCAAAAGTTTAAAGTTTTTTTCCCACCTGTTTTAAGAGTGTTGGTTGGATTAAAGCTGAAATAAATTAAGGAATGTTTAGCCACAATTGGAACTCTGTTTTGTTCTCAGGACGTGTGCCCATGAGGTCGTCACCACTGGTCCTGGTCCTCCTGATCGGCGTCCAGGCTGTACTGAACATGGGAGGTGGACTGGCCCAAAGCGCCGGGCTAGCCAACCGCAAAGCGGGACAGCAGACAATAGCCAATCACCAAGTTGGACACCAGCACCATACTCTGGCTGTGGCGGGAGAGCAGCACGCCGAACTTCACAGGACCAATCATCACAGGACCAAGAGGCGTCATCGAGGAGCCTCGCACACGCCTGACCCCTCCATCCCGGTGGTGGACCCCAAGCTCTTCTCCAAGAGACGATACCGTTCCTCGCCACGCGTCGTCTTCAGCGAGGTACCACCCTCGCATGACGCCCTGGAAGCTGAGGGCTATGACACTGAAGGGGTCAGGGGGCTACGGGTGAGGCGCAGGGCGGGCTCGCATACCATGCACAGAGGAGAGTACTCGGTGTGCGATAGCATTAACACCTGGGTAGGCAACATGACCCGGGCCACAGACATCGCTGGGAATGAGGTGACCGTGTTGCCCAATGTCACAATCAACAACGTTGTGAAGAAGCAGTTCTTCTACGAGACCACCTGCCGAACCCCAATGCACAGGGGCTCCGGAGCAAGGGTGGGGGGACGAGGCAGCAAGCAGGGCTCCAAATCGGCCACCTCGGGCTGTCTCGGCATCGACAGTCGCCACTGGAACTCCTATTGCACCAACACACACATATTCGTAAGCGCCCTCACTATCTTCAAGGAACGGACAGCCTGGCGCTTCATTCGCATCAACGCCGCATGTGTGTGTGTTCTCAGCAGGAAGTCTTGGGCGGGGCGGCTCGTACACTGACTAGGAAGGACGGGCTCCGCCCGCAAAGCTATGAAACTAGCACACAGTTCTCCCTGACGACCACTACAGCTTCATTGCCAATACTGTATTCCTTTTTCCAGCGTACAGACACACACACACACACACACACACACACACACACACACACACTCACACTTTCGGGACCTCATCGTTCCAGCCCCCTGGCAATCCGGCCCCTCACCCTACCTCAGCCCGAGAAGTCCTGGTCTGGACTGCATATTATATTTATGGTTTATACAGTGAAATATGAAATTATATAATATGTGTGTGTGAGTGTGTGTGTGTTTGTGTGTGTGTTAGTGCGTGTAGACACACAAAACGAACTCAAGCTTTTATTGTTGTCATTGTTGTGTTGTTGTTCTTATTGTTATTTATTCAACACATCTGTACTTGCCTGGTTTGTTTTGTCAATTTGAAATATGCACATTCAGAATTTTTACATGAATGATGGATAAAAAGAAATGACCAAGTCTACTGTTGTGTTATTGACTTCCTGTGCTCCTTCTTTCACTCTGCTAAGGTTGCTGTTCGATAAAAATGTCTGGATGCAAGCAATGTAAACTCATTCATATATTTATCAACTGTTTAATGATGCAGTATACTGAGACCATGTCAAATTTCGTTCCAGCCACTTCGCATCAAAATGATCTGCCAATGTGTGGTTTCCAAATTTTAAGATTTCATCCCTGAAAGTTGCTCAAGTTGTCTCAAGATTGACCTTTGAATCAGCAGTAAGATCACACGCATTGCTCAGTTGTAGAAAAGACATAACAATAACAACAAAAATTTTGGACTGTATGGGGCCTCCAACAGTTTCCTCAAGTCAGGTATTAGGAAGTGACTTTGAAAAGGGTCCCTTTGGATTGATGACATTTTCAAGAATCGTCCTCACCTCTGTCCATAAATCAATTCCCTTGTTAAATAGAAGTAGCCACCAACTGAAAGGAGCACCCATTTCCCAAAACAAGAGTTATGAGATGTAAATTGTACAGTATGTGCAAACTATGTTCAGGCAATAAAAATGGTGACACTGGCATCACTGTTCAAGCATCCGGTGGCACAGAAGCATTGCTACTTGGTACGGCATGCAGAAGAGCAGCAAGTAGACCAGAATTTAGACCCGCTAAAAGTGAATCCAAGTTGTGGCACAGGTGGTGTAACTCCATCTTGATGGTTTTGATGGAGGCGATGGAGGATTCTGAGCTTCGTGGGCATGTGTGGTGAATGTCATCATATTTCAATCTTAAAGCGTGCGGCAATCACAAACAGGCAAACATGCTGGCTGTGTTCCTCCCCACAATGGCGCAAATGCCCCTTTCTATCTGTGCACATCTACAAAAGTAACAAAAGACAGAAGAATCCACATATGCGCACAATCACACTGAACTTTGCAGTCGACTTCAGCTGGACATGAAAATACAAATTGAAACATTAGATGAAAACGTAAACTGATTTTTCAGTGCTCCCAATTGGAGGCAAATGCAGCGGAAGACGTCACTGAGGTGTGAAAGATGCACACACATACCCTTAGATTGTATTTTTATTCTCTAAAACAGTGCTGTATGATTATTGGGCTGGGGCATCCATTTTATTTTGTCACAGCACACTGGTTGGGAATCACTGCTCAGAGCAGTCTGCTCAGAGCAGTCTGCTCTGGCAAATATTCAAATTTGGCTAAAACAAAAATACATTCATAGAATTTTCATCCGCAGAAAGGATGCATACCTGTCCCGTTTGGTTCTGATCAGCATCAGAGCAGTGTTGTGTGTCGATACACACTATGTCTATCCCTCCATCAATTTTCAACACTGCATGCTCTTCCGTTGCAAGCATTGTTTTTTCTTGGGCTTCTGCTCACATTTCAAAAACATGCATGTCAGGTCCATTGAAGACTCAAAATAATCCATCAATGGGATTGTGAGTGTAACTGGTTTTTCGTCTTTATGGGTCCTGCAATTGGCTGGCAACCAGCCCAGGGTGTCTCACCATAAATCAGCTTCAACTCAACTCAACTCAACTCAACTCATCTCAACTGTATTTACTCAGCTCATCTGTGACCCTCCTGAGGATAAACAGTGTTGAAGAGGGAAGGATGAATGGGTAATTTTGACTCTGCTCATTTTGCTCTTACCTTATTCAACATCTCTCAATGACGCAGGGCAGCTCTGCCTCAGCACAGGCCATGAGTGGCTGCCTTTCCAGCAGCTCCTATATTTTGTTGTTCTACTTCTTCCATTCATAACTTTGCTGCTGTGAATTGGGAATTTCTCCATTGCGAGACTAATAAAGGTTCTCTTATCTTATCTTATCTTATCAATACGGGATTGCAGTATCACCAGAAGGTGGCACTATAGTACCATAGATGGGCTGGACGAAATGATGACTGCTCTGCTGCGTGTGAGCAACGTCAAGTCCACATGATCTCTAATGCCACATAAAACCCGCAACGGTGAAATATAGTCAATTAGATGTTAACAAGCCATTAGTGGGACTTCTCCCAGCCCACCCTGACATCTGTTGTCTGTTATCGGCACTGAAAAGCCACTATTGCTGCTGCCCCCGCACCCATTTTGGGGCCCAGTGAAAAGTGTGGCCTTCTATTGACATAAGTCAAGGACGACAGCACCCACAAACGGTGTGAAAGGTGACATGGGATCAGAATTGATTACCTTTCCTTCACCAGCATGCACCATGGCACTGTTTAAAGGCGGTAGGCCTGTTTTAACACAAGTCACCACCAAAAGCAGAGCTGGGTTTTAAACGCTTTTGGTGAGATTTTTGCCTACAACCTTGTCCTCTGCATAGAATATTTTTTTTGTTTTTCACATGCTTGGAAGTGCAGATAACCAATCACAAGCTTGTCCCCAGTCTTATCAATGTTTCCATTTTTGGCACCATTCTGGTCAAGGTCCAGACGAAACCGCATTGTTTTGTTTTCCTCCCCAATTTTCCGAATGAAAGCTAATCTTCGACTTTCAGGAGGTTCAGATGTGAGTCCCCACACATTTATGAGACTCAGAAGAGATTCATGTCCACGATTACACACATGTACATATATCAGCTTTTTTTTTTTGTTTTGGACTCCTCCTCTCCTACACGGTTCTGCTGGGCTTTGTTCCTCCATAAGGACATTTTCAGAGCATGGCCACATTTCTCGGAGAGATAAGATGAACTCCTGTTTGTTCCCTCGGGGTGATTTTTTTTTTTTTTTTTTTAATGTTGGACCTGGTGGTGCTGATTATTTGAAGTAACACAGAGGGAACAATTGGTGTCATCATAAACTTTTTAGCTGGTGTCAGTGTCTTAATTAAACTTATGTTGCTGTCTGTCTAATTTTTTGCTCATTTAGCTCGATTGACCCATTACATTGATAATTTTTATTTCACAGTTCGGCTTTTTGATCTGTTAAATTAAATGTACAGTATATTACTGTGGTCGTGTTTTAATACAAACAGCTGCTATATAAGCACCATTCTTTTGTGCGTTTTCCTGTGCTTTTATGTTTTATTAATGCTGTTTTGAAATAAATTGAAGCATTAAGAAGACTGTTTTGCATATTTATATTCATACATGCATGAGAATAGAGGACACAAGGACGCTCCGAAAGGATTATCTTATGGGGAAAAAAAACTGTGAGTTTTTTTTTGTTTGTTTTTTTTTTTGCCCTCCCCAATCAGATTTGTTTGAAATGTCTTTAAATAATTGCAGCTGTAGCAACAATCTATTTTCGCGCATTCGTGAAATGAGAAAAAGCTTTTTTTTCCTCCACTCCTTTGTGAACATTTGCCAAATCCACATTGCAGTCCCCCCTGCAGCTCGCCCCTCCCTCTCTCCCTCTTCTATTATAGAAGGGGGCGGTCTGGAAAGAAGTGTGTGTGTGTGTGTGTGTGTGTGTGTGTGTGTGTGTGTGTGTGTGTGTGTGTGTGTGTGTTCAGTCTTCACCTCCACTTGATGGATACATTGAGAGAGTGAGAGAGAGGGAGAGAGAGAGAGAGAGAGAGAGAGAGAGAGAGAGAGAGAGAGAGAGGCTACCATGACAGCGCTTCTTGATGCACAAGTGTTTTGACTCGCAGGGACTATTCATGTCATCTTGAACGGGACCAACTCCATCAGCCCTCCCTTAGGTCGTTTTGTGTGGATAAAAGCAAAGCCAGCTGACATGGGGAAAGTGGAAGGAGGGATGAAATGCGTGAAATATCTTCTGTTCGTGTTCAACTTCATATTCTGGGTAAGTGACCGTGGAAGGTTGCGTGCAGGTGCAGCAAGTGCAGCTGTGATTTGTGGTTAAGATTGTTTACATGCAAGCTCTCTGCCGCTTGGTGTGCGGTGGGACTAAGTGTTTGATTTTGCAGTCACTCCGTGTGGTTTCCCCTCTGTGTAGCTCTATGAGAGACAGCCAGAGCTTTGTTGTTATTTCACTTCTCAAATCAGATTTTCCACAGAAGAAAAAAGTAGCATTCATTTTTTTTCTAAAGGAAAGAATGAATGAATAATGGGAGATTGTGGGTCAGTTAGGAAGTCCAAGTCAGCAGTTGGCGTCGCATGTCCTCATTGACAAAAAATGTAGAGATTATTGATAAAGTCGAAATGCATGCATCATCCCCAAGCTGCTTGGACATTTATTTTAACACAAATCCCTTGAGTGGTTGGAATGAGGCTCAACAGAGTCAGGTGGACATGATAGGTGTGTGTGTGTGTGGGGGGGGGGGGGGGGG